AAAAACAGCCCAGGCGCCGAAAATCTTGATTTGTACATTGAACGCGGTTTGGGTCACGGGTGGGTCGCAACTTCCCCACTTCGAACGAATACAAAAAAACTCGCCGCAGGCGCCGAAAATTTTGGGTGGGTCGCGGGGTGGGTCGCGGGTTGGTCGCGGGAGGGTCGCGCTGGGTCGCGGGTGGGTCGCGGGTGGGTCGCGGGTGGGTCGCGGGGTGTGTCGCGGGTGTGTCGCGGGTGGGTCGCCGGTGGGTCGCGGGTGGGTCGCCGGGGGGGTCTTGGGGTGGGTCGCGGGCGGGTCGCGGGGTGTGTCGCGGGTGGGTCGCGGGTGGGTCGCGGGCGGGTCGCGGGGCGGGTCGCGGGTGGGTCGCGGGGTGGGTCGCGGGTGGGTCGCGGATGGGTCACGGGGTGGGTCGCGGGTGGGTCGCGGGTGGGACGACGACAACAACAAACAACAAACAACAACAATAATAATCCGCATCGCGGAATTCCACTTCAGCCACGCACCCAGGGACAGTGAATGACCGTTCGGTTCAGCCCCCCCTCTCTGATATGCGCGAGGGAAAAAATGTCTGGCGGCCGATTCTGAAACAATCCACGCGCAAAAACGTTGCTGCATGAGCCATATCCGCACGCATATCTCGCGTCCTCCAAATCCTTTGGAATACCACAACACGCATCTCGATGCCACTGCTGAGGTGCCTTGCCATTCGCGCGAACTTTTTTGGTGAAACTGCAACAGTCGACCATGCATACATTGAAGCTGTTTTTTAGTTTGCAAACCTACACCGCGTCGAACAAAAACGCCACCTGGTGGATAAAGAAAAGCAAGCCGTCCTTCTGCAGTGAGGTTGCAATCAGGAGATGCTCGTCGGTCCTTGGCCTTACCTGAGGCGCTGACGGTACGAAATCAATCACGCCCCGCCTCTTGCCGCATTTCATCCACTGGGGGCAGTCTAGCACGTTGGGCTTGCAGAAATGCTCGTCACTTGTGCATATGTGATCCGCTTGGCTCCCCATCCTTTGGCCCCCGCCTGTGAGAATCTCGCTTCAGCCTCCGCCGCCGTCAATCTGAATGTTACAGTTCTGCAACGCTTGGGTCGCTTGGGGCCTGGCCGCTTGCCCAGTGAACTGCCTTGCCAGTTGATGTGCCTCAGCATGTCGTCGATCCGTCCACGCTTGAAGGACCAATTGTCGATCAACCTGCGCCGTCTTAGTGTGCGTGGTCACCATTCGGATGGCTCGAGTGAGTTTGATCGCCTCACGCCAGCCACGCATAATATTCTGTATCGAAACCATAGCCAGTCCAATATCCAGGATCGGAGAATCCATCTACTAGGGCCACGCCCGTCATGATTCTATTGACGCACCAATCCGTGTCGCAATTCTCGTCGTCCTCGAAGAAAACCAAGCTCGTCGATGCATGTGAGGTTTTGCTGCTGCATGGCCTTACCGGGAGAGAAAAAACCTGCGCCGTATCTTTGAGCGCGTCCACCAGAAACTGCCATGCTTGAGTAACAACCATTCTCCATCGTCAGCTGTCATTCGTGTTCGCTGGTCTCACACCGTGATGGTAATCGCTCATCTATGATGTCCCTGTTGGTGCCGTGGAGTAGCTCCTGCATGAGGGCTTCGCGGTTCCATCGTAAGACCTTTGTTGATCCATCGTGTTATACCGAATGTCGAAGTTGATTTGGACTGGTCGACGGTTCGCTCGCCGAAGGCTCTGAATGAGATCCAGTTGATATCATGACTTCTCTAATACAAGCGCATGATGTACTGCTCCCAACGTCGAATGTCCATTGGGCATGCACATGTAAGTTATCTGGTGCTGCGTGCTTGTGCCTACATTGTAGTGGGCGGCACCAATGCCATACTGAACAAGAAATTAGATGCACATCTTCGATAGTCAATACAGAACTGCCAAAGAAATGACCCATTGCTATCCGATGGCTCGCGGAAGTGTGGTCCAATCGCAAAGCAATCATCTTGACACAAAACCCTTTGCGGGCCAGTCGCGCTGCCAACTCTGCCGTTGCCGTCCACCATCATCACAAATATGCTACGAGCGGGCAGACTCGCCGGTACCTGAGGCACTCATAACGTCTGAACATGTGTTGTATTATGATGGTTGCCTATGCTCTCTGGCGGAACGTAGATGCTCATCCACGTGACGTCATGACTGGCAGTTTTTGTGCGAATGCAGATGCCCTGTCCCTGGATGCTGGGATCACGTGGAACTCTATATTATCCAAGTGTCGTGGAATAGATGCCGATGAAACGCAATTGCATGCTTGTTTGAACGCGTGCCATATCCTGCAGAAGAAGAAACGATGCTTTCCGATACGCCGTTGTTCGAGTGGGAGATCTTGTCCTGGTAGTCGAGTGCCCTGATGTCCCACAAATGCCTTATTCCGAAACTCACTGAAGACATCGTCCAGTCTCCCACAGCTGATGACCGACATGGGATTGTACGTCACCACCTGCGCGGCATTGGAGTAACAGGCGCAAGCATTGGTCCCCCCGATTCTTGTGTATAAGCAAGGAGACTGAACGATCGAGCAGCAGCCCCTGACAATCTGCTCGGGACCGTGGGTTATCAGGACGAGGAGAAAGAGGAGGAAGAGGACGAGGAGGAGGAGGAGGAGGAGGAGGAGAAGAAGAAAGGGGAAGCGAGAATGTCGACGAAAGGGAGGAGGACGACGACAATGCGGAACGGGAGGAGCAGCAAGAGCGGGAGGAGCAGGAGAAAGACGAACACGGAGATGAAGAGGAAATGGCAGGGAAGAGGAAGGAGGAGGAGGAGGAGGAGGAGGAGGGAGGAGGAGGAGGAGGAGGAGGAGCAGAAAAAAAGAAGAAGCTGGAGGAGGAGTGGGAGCACGAGGGGAACCAGGAGGACGAGGAAGCACAAGGAGGGGGCGGGCAAAGAAACAGAGACGGCGTCTTGGCATCGAAAGACGCCGCGCCTCCGACGAGCCGCGAGTCGCGATCCGACCGGCGCCGGGGCCGCGAGGCCGGCGGGTCGGCCGCGCCCGGGCTGCTGGCACGGACGCGGGCGCATGGACGGAGCACGTCGTCAGGGGAGGGGAAGGGGGGGAGAGGAGGAGGAAGAGGAGGAGGAGGAGGAGGAAGAAGAAGAAGAAGACTCGGCCTTGCGCGTGGTCTGTGCCGATCCCTGACCGCGCGTGAACCCGTGCAATCAGAGCCCTACCTCGAACGATCATCGATCGAGTGCGATGAGGTAGGGGGAGGAGGGGGAGGAGGAGGAGGAGGAGGAGGAGGGGGGGGGGTTCGCTTCGTCTGGGAGCTCCCGAGCGAAGTGATCCCCACCCTCCCCCTCAGAAGTCGTGGGGGGTAGGGGTGGGGTTCGCACGTGGCCCCCTAGGAAGGGGGGGGGGGGCGGGGGGGCAGGAGCGCGGCAGGCAGGCGCCGAGGCGGGAAGGGCCTTCGGAACGACCGAAGGAGCTCAGAGCGGACAGCCACGAGAAGCATCACCGATGGGAGCCTGGAGTGCGAAGGCCAGTGCGCGGAGGGGGCGGATGACAATCAGCACGTCTCCAGATGAGTAATTGTAAGAGGGCGAGCGGGAAAGGTGAGGAGCCGATGACGACAGCGACAGAGATTTGACTGCCCAGTGCCGACAGACATCGCCGTAATACCGCTGTGACTCTCGCAACTGCGCCCCCCCGCTGTAGTTCTCGTCGACACTCGGGCCCACATTCTCTGCAAAGCCAGCAACGATGGAGAGCACAGGCCCCGCCACCCCCACCCGCCCACGCCGAGGCAGGAGATGCCGGGAGGAGCGCGTCTCACCGACCCCACCTGTGATCCACGTGACTACACTTCTTGCGATGAGCGGCCATGCCGGATGCTCCGACGACCTCAACCACACCGGATGCCGGATGCTCCGTGCTCCAAGCAGCGTCGGCATGCAAGACTGCACGGTGGGAGACCTGCAGCCTCTTTGCCACCGGCTGCCACGTGAAGACCGCCGGCAGGAGAGGCATCAGGGCGGAGAGGGAGAACGAGTGGCGGAGAGGAATCAAGGCGGACGACATGCGCGGGGAGAGAAGTGGCGGACGAGGCGGGAGCGGTGCAGGAGGGGTGGAGGGAAGCCAAGAGACGCGAGGGAAATCCCACCCGCCCTCCGAGCGGAGGTGGTCTAGAGCGCGTTCTCCTCCAACTCCATTCTCCCTCTGCGGGGAGCGGCTTACTCCTCCCGCTACCCCCTCCCCCCTAGACCTGGACGGGAGGTTTCGCGAGGCGTTGGGAAGTCCGAGATGGCCTGGACGGTGAGGCAACAATCATGGACGTGATATAGGTTCTGAAGCCATTTTGGCCTCCCTGGGGGGGGACTAAAATTGACTGCCCCTCCTTCTTTGATCGATCTCCTCCAAGACGGCCCCAAGACGGCCCCCGAGGCTCCTAAGAGTGTCCCAAGAGGCGCCCAGGAGGCCCCAAGTGGCCTCCAAAAGGTCCCCAAAAGGCTCTCAAGTGACCCCCTAGGAGGCCCCAAGAGGCCCCCCCCGAGGCACCCACGACGCTTCTTCAAGAGGCCACCAAGACGTCCCAAGAGGCCTACAAGAAGCTGTCAAGAGACATCCGAAAAGACTCCGAGAAGAATCCAGAATGCCTCTGACCTTTCTGGCCCGTGTCCCTCCTCCTCCTCCGATTCCTCCCCCTCTTGGGGTATGACGTCTTATCCAGTCTTTTTTTCTACTGCATGCTTCTCCACATGCCTGATCAAGGCAACTCGTCTGGGCATCGTTTCTGGATGGGCTGGTGGGGTTACGCCAGGGGTCTAGAATAAAAGGAAAGGCGATGGGAGAGACGGGGATGGGAGACAAGATTATGGCTGAGGGAGGAAGGGCCGGGAGGGATGAGAGGAAGGAGGCGGGGATGAGAGGACGAAGAAGGAGGCAGATGGGAGGGATGGAGGAGAAAGGGAGGAACCAGGCGGGGGATGGGGGAGGGCAGAGGGGAAAGGAGGCCAATGCCGTCCTGGACAGCGAACCCCGCCACCGGCCCGCTGGCAAACTGCAGCCAGACCTGCGGGGGCAGGTCACCCGGCCGCTCGACCCCGAGAGGGGCCTCAGCAAGGAGCCAGAGATTACCTCCACTCCCGAATCCCCCTCCCTCTCTCCCTCCCTCTCTCCCTCTCTCTCGCTCCCTCGCTCCCTCGCTCGCTCCCTCCCTCCCGGCCCACATGCTCACCCCTCCATCCCGTTCCCCACTTCTATACCCCTCCCACCCTCGAGAGACCAAGGGGCTGTGAGGCAGAAGCCCCACAAAACCCCTCCTCATTGCCAAAGGCATCCCTCCCTCATTGTATCCCCCGTTCTCCGCTTCTTCCTGTTCACCTTCGCCGTTTCCTCCACCTCCTCGTCCTCGTTCTCCCAGCCACCTCCGATCCAATATCATTCCTCCACCTTCCCTTGGCATTGCCCAAAGACACCCCGCTCTTTTCCTTCCTCCTTTCCATCTGACTTAGCATTGCCAATGATAGAGCATGTCTGCCACACGGGCAACGTCCGTATCATTTAGCATATTACAATGCAGAGGCAAACAAATCCATTGAAATTACAGCCAGACGGCCACCAAATTCGCATTCCCTTCCACTGGGCGCCCCCCGCGAGGCATTATAGAGAAAGAGAGGTGTAGAGAGAGAGAGAGAAGAAGAAAAACAGGAGAGGACACACCCGACTACTCCTCCTTCCCCTCCCTTCCCTCCTCGACCGCTCGTCTATCCTTCTGCTCGTGCCATCTTCTCCTTCTTCCGTCCTCCCGTCCTCCTCCTCCTGAAGATACTCCTTCTCTGCCCACTTCCTGCTGCTGCTGATCGTTCTCCTCCTCCTCCTCCTCCTCCTCCTCCTCCTCCTCCTCCTCCTCCGGCCTGAGGCATCTGGCCTAGCTCGGGGTGCCCGGCGCCTCAGCCGTGAGGGCTGCGGACAGATGCCACGAAGCCGCTCCGGTCGCCTCCCCGGGGCCTGGCCAACACTGGCCGCGGGCACCTCGCGCCACCCGTGCCTGCCGTCGACCCTGCGGGCGTCGACGGAGCCGCAGCTGCCTCGAGAGGCCGAGACGCGGCACCGCTCGCAGGCCGCAGGGAGGGCGAAGGCGGGGCCCCCGGGGGCCACATTAGGGGGCCGCGTGCGAACCCCCCTCCCCCCCCTCCTCCTCCTCCTCCTCCTCCTCCTCCTCCTCCTCCTCCTCCTCCTCCTCGCCTCCTCCTCCTCCTCCTCCTCCTCCGCCTCCTCCTCCTCCCCCTCCCCCTACCCCTGCCCCCCACGATTTCTGAGGGGGAGGATGGGGTTCACTTCGGTCGGGAGCTGCCAAGCGAAGTGAACCCCACCCTCCCCCTCAAAAATCGTGAGGGGCAGGGGTAGGGTTCGCATGCGGCCCCCGACACATCCAGGAGTCTTCGCTGTCTTCACCTGCAGGCCGTGGGCCTCGACGAGCCGCTGCCAGTCGTCTCAGCCTCGGGTGGCGGCCTTTGTGACGTCGCGAGGTCACGCGCTGACCAACGGCGCGAGGCCTGAGACAGCTTCGGAGGCCTGGCGCCGTATCAGGCCTCAAGATATCTTGCTGAATGCATCGGCGATCTTCACGTCGATGGCCACGACGCCCGGGCGCGCGCTGGCCATGGCGCACAAGCCCCGGCACAGGCGGCCGCAACCGTTGGAGGCCAGGCCGAACTGCCTGGCTCCTGCCCGTTCGCGGATCGGTCCCGCGAAGAGCTTGGAAACCGACTTCCCGACCTGGCGGCGCGCCACCGAGCTGCAGCCGAGGACTTCGGACGTCCGCGCCATAGCCGCTGGCCTTCAGGGTGCCTGCCAGCTGCGCGGCAAGGATGGCATTGCGGGCCTCCGCAGGCAAGCCGCCCGCGCCCAAGCGCGCCGACCTCTTGGCCGCGGCCTCGGCGCCGACCGGGTCGTGAGCGATGCCTGCCCGATGCTCGCTCCGGCTGCCTCCAGAGGGCTCGCGCGACCGCGTCGGGCGAAGCGGCCGACCCGCTCGGCCGCGTCCTCCGCCGTGCGGCCGCGCAGCTCGGGCCCGCCGTCGTGGCCGCCGCCGCCATGAGCCGCGGCGGCCGCTGGGCCCGCTGCAGGGCCACGGCCGCCCTTGCTGGGCGGAGGTGAGCTTGCGGAGGATGCTGTGTATCAGCCTTGGCCGACTGTGACCAGACGACCCCCGCCGACCCCCTGGAGGGAACGAGGTCGCCCACCCGACGGGCGCGCCCGTCGTCTCCTTGATCACGGCTTCCATGTTGCGCCAGAGGGCGCCGCAGTCGCCGCTGTCCATCCAATGCCAGCGCTCGGCCAGGCGCCCGTGTCGCGATAAGCTGACATGGACTGATGGAGCGCTGCCCTCGACGACGAGCCGGGCGTCGAATGCCGTGGAGATCCTCCACGGTGCCCTCTGCTCAGCTCCGCTGGCTGCCGCGCAGGCTGCCTCGATAGCCGTGCGCAGGCGGCGGCGGGGCTGCGCAGGAACAGCGCGCGCCCCCGTGGCAGGGAACTCCGCCGGCGGACCCGCGGGAAGCCCGACTGCTCAGCGGCCGCCGTCGGCGCCCAGGCGGTCGCGCAGGACAGGACAGGAAAAGGCCGCGCCTAGACGGCGCATCGGCAGGACATGACAACCTACACAAGCCATGGAAAGCTCGTGCGAAGACAAGTCCGCGCGGAATGCGCCCGCGCCGGAACGCAGCCACTGCGCATCACAGTGGTGGGCGGTCGCGCAGCGCGGCGCGATCGGCGCCTCGCTGTCGTCGTCGAGGGATTCGCCCTCAAAAAAGAAGGGAATCCCTAAGATTGGCATCGTGATGAGGAGGTGCCCAGCATAGGGATAGGGATCTGTTCCAGGCTGGTAAGCGTGGCGCGATCGGCCTCGCTGGCGTCGTCGAGGCCTCCGGCGCCGCCCGCGCCGCAATTGGGCGGGCCGCCTGGCCGGCGGGGGCGCGCCCGGCTCTGGGCGAGGTCGGCGCCCGCCCCCGCCCCGGCCGCCCCGGCCTCGGCGGGCGCCTCGCTTGGCGCGCCGCCCCGCGTGGGCCTGAGGCTGGGGCCATTGGCCATCGCTCGGACGTCCATTCCCTGTGTTTTTTTGCGGTTTCGTGCGTGGCTTTTTCGCCAAATGAGCAAGGATGCTCCTCGGTGGTCCTCGCCGAAGGAAAAATGCACACGTCCGAGCGATGCCGAGGCCAACAGTGAAGGGGCCCGGGGACGCACAAAGGAATACACACAGATAACAAGAGATTCCCCCTACTTCCCCATATATATATATATATATATATATATATGTATTCTGAGTTTTTGCCTCCCCCCCCCACGTCCCATATTCTTCGATATTCCCTAGGGGTTCGGCGATGAATTGTGCCTGTGTGTGTGTGTTCTCTCCCCTCCTGAAGCTGGTACCCCCCCGCACGGGCGCACCGCCGCGGCGCCCACGGCGCCGCGCTCCAGCGCCCAGCAACCGGGTGGGGGGCGAAGGACTGGGCCGCCCCCGCCCGCCCGCGCCCGAAGGCTCGCCGCGAGGGGGTCTCGTGCCCGTGTTCCCCGAGGGCGCCCCGCGGCCGAGGAGGCCGTTGGGCTGTCGGCGGGGGCAGGCGCGCGTCGATGCAGTCCCAGTGGTGCCGCTCGTCGCCGAGGCGCGTGGCTGGCCGCCTGCGCGCGCCGTGGCGCGATTGGCCGCGCGCGCAAGGGGGTATGGGGGAGGGGGCGAGGCTCCTTCGAAGGAGGCTGCGTCTTCGAGGGCGCTGGCCTGAGACCTATAGATCAGGCCCGCGCCTTCTAAGAAAAGCAGGGGGTGCTTCTAAGCAGCCCTCCCCCCTCCCCCCCCCCCCCACCTCTGGCCATCGCTCGGACGTCCACGCCCGGTGCTTTTTTCGGCTTCGTGCGTGGCTTTTCCGCGACATGATCCAGGATGCTCCTCGATGGTCCTCGCCGAAGGAAAAAATGCACACGTCCGAGCGATGCCAAGCCCTCTGCGCGTGGCTGAGACGAGCCGCCGCCCGTGCGGCTCGAGCTGCACCCTGCAGACCGCGCGGCCGGCCACGCGCCCGTTGCCCGTCGCAGGCGCCTCGGGGGGGGGGGCCCGAGGCCCGCGGCGTGGTCGGCCCGCTCGCGCGTCGGCGCCCGCCCGCTGCGGCGGTGGGCGGGGCCGGGCGCCCCGTGACCGCGCTGCGCTGGTGCAGCCCGCCTCTGCCCTCCCGTGGCTGCGGCGGCTCGGGCGCGGGTCCCGTTGCCGTGTCCAGTCGCCCCCGCGCCGCATCCAGCACTCGAGGGCGTGCAGTCATCGGCCTGACCTAAGGAACGATAAAGAAGGAACGAAGGCCCTTCTGTTATCCCCAGGAAGAACGCACAGGGAACGAGAAGCAACACACGACGCATAGAAGGAGCGGTAAACAACGCATGCAAGCCTGAGGAACGACCGAGCCCCTTTTGAACAGTAGGTGTTCCTTACTCCAGATTTCGTAATAAAAGGGAGGGGGTCTGGACCCTCCAAGACAAGCCATTTCAGACCTCCCCCGTGGGAGAACCCTCCAAAACAGCGTCCCCAGACCCCCCCCAGGCCCTCCAGGATAGCCCGGAAGACCCCCCCCGAAACGAGACCCCCCTCCCTTTGCTACGAAATCTGGAGTACTCAAGCCGCTCACTGTACGGGTCTCCTCGCCCACGCTCGTGGTGCTGCGGAAGGCTGCGCTGCCTCCCCATCGGCCGCGGAGGCTCCCGCCTCGGGGCAAAGAAGGAGGAGGAGAAAAGGAGGAGGAGGAGGAGGAGGAGGAGGAGGAGGGGGAGGAGGAGATGGAGGAGGAGGGGGAGGAGAAGGAGCAGGAGGAGGGAGAAGGAGGAAAAGAAGGAGGAGGAGAAAAGGAGGAGGAGGAGGGAGGAGGAGGAGGAGGAGGAGGAGGAGATGGAGGAGGAGGGGGAGGAGAAGGAGCAGGAGGAGGGAGAAGGAGGAGGGTGGGCTCGACCCGCCGACGGCCGCGCCCCCTGGGCGCCCCCCTGGTCCTGCGTCTCTCGGCATGGGCGCCGGCGGGCCGACGTGGCACGGGGGGAGCTCTCTGGCACGAGGAGGCAGTGCGTCCAGGGATGAGGCACAAAAAGATGGGTTGGAGGACTTGTTTTCCACCACCACCACCACCATAAGTTGGAGGGGGAGGGGCTCCTCCTCCTCCTCCTCCTCCTCCTCCTCCTCCTCCTCCTCCTCCTCCTCCTCCTCCTCTTTCTCCTCCTCATCCTCCACCTGCTCCCAACCCCGGCTTATGGTGGTGGTGGTGGACAGCTGGCCCATCATGGGTGCGCCCTGTGCGCGGGTTGCCTCGAGTGCTGCAGCATGTTACCATCCCCGTCGCCCTTGCAGACCTGATTGCAATTCGCATGGCTGTGAACATAGTAGCGGCTTCTCTGGTGGCTGGAAACGAACGAGTAAACACTGCCGAGCCAGTATCAGTACCAATAGTGTCAGCGGCAGTATCAATAGCATGGGCAGCATTAATACCATTAACACTCGCGATCGTACTACACTGCCACAGATACTACCACTAGCCGTGCCACGCATCATCCGCAGGATGATACGAGAGAGTACGCGCAACAAGGAGGGGCAAGAGGATGGGCCGAACGTGAGGTGAGCGTCTCCCCCGTAACCGTACCCTCCCACCCACATAACCTCCCACGCGCTACGACTATTCTTGTGACCGCCAGCAGTAATACCTACTAGTACCGTTGCCGATGGCAGTGCCAATGCTGTTACCATCAATCGTCCGAGGGCGGTGATGGGGTTGGGACGGCCAGGGATCAGCATCGGCAGGAGGGGGCAGAAGACGACCATACTAAGGAGGAGGGTATGCCGAACCTCAGGTGCGCGCCCCCCTGTCCGTTTCCGTGCGTTTCCGCCTCCGCGCGGCACCTCTGCCGCCTGCCACGCTTGTCCAATTACCGTCGCGGCGAATACTCGGCGAATGATACTGCTGCTGCAAAGTACGACTACCATTGCTCGTCCTGAAGCTAACACTATTGCGGCGACGACTAGGATTGTAAGAGCGAGGAGGAGAAGTGAGGAGGACAAGGAGGGATGGAACGGGAGAGGGGGGTGAAAACAAAGTGGGGGAGGGGGGGAGGAACAGGAGGAGCAGGAGCTGGAGGAGGAGGAGGAGGAGGAGGAAAATCACGAGGAAGAATAAGGACGAGAAATGAAAAGTATTACGAGGTGGAAGGATGATGCGTGAGACCACGAGCGGGATGAAGAGAGCTGGGAGGAAGATATGGAGACGAGGAGAAAAAGGAGGAAAGGGAACACACGTTTCATGTTGCCTTCTCTTCCCCCTCTCCATAAGAATCCGTAGTGATCAGACTCCTCCACTTCCTCCTCATGCGCCGTATCCACCTCCTCCACATCTTTCTCTTCGTCCTCCATTCCCGATTCCACCTCCTCCTCCTCCTCCTCCTCCTCTTCATCCTCCTCCCCCTCCATGCCATCCTCGTCGCCCTCGTCATCTTTGTCCTCCTTTGCCTCCTCCGCTTGATTATCCAGCTGCTCCTCATCCTCCACCTCCACAACGTATTGGTCTTTATAGTTTTATGTACTAGTATCCTGTGTCTCGTGCCTCCTCGCCCTTAGTTGGGGGAAGGGGGCGAGGAGGACGAAAGGAGGGGGAGAGGGACAAGGGGGAAGGGGGGCGGTGGATAAAGATGAGATGACATGACAAGGGATCGTACTACCCGTCCTCCTTATCATCCTCCGTGTCGAATTGCCCATCTTCCTCTTGTCCCTCCCGCCATCTGCTGGCCATCAGCCACCTTGCAGATTACATTGTAATGGCGATGCCACTTAGGCCGAACATACTGTCACGACGGCGTTAGCACCGGATGTGCAGGGAAGTGCCCAAAGCAACTTGGAGGTTGAGTTGGGCACCTCTCTTACCTAAACACGCGACGCACGCCCTCCCCTACGTGATGAACCGAACATGCAATTCATGACAGCGTCCTCCAACAACACTCGGATCTGATGCTTCAAACGACCATGCGAGCCACTCAATAATCAGGTATCGAAGGAACGACGGCGAGGATTACATAATTGCTCCCTTCCCACGGGCGCCTTCTCGGGCGCATCGCCAAACACTGTCCGCACCAGTTTCGGCGAGAAAGTGGAGGACTCGCCAGCGGGGGGAAAGAACAACACAGCGGGTAGTACGGGAAAGTGAGGGGGAAAGCAGGGAAAACGGGAAAGAGAGACATACACACATACATGCACACATGTACACATACAAGACTGCGCATTGGCGCTTCGCGCCATGCACGGTGGTACTTCGGATTTGGTATACAGGCAAGAAAGCAACAAGTTAAAACGGAGCATGTTGCGATAAGTCGTTGTTGCCTTTTCTGACATCGTCGTTGTAATGATGCAGAGAGCGTGATCCACCGCCGCTTTACTGTGGAAAACTCCGCCCCCTCTTCCTCCGGAACCCGGGGGCCACCCCCCACTCCTTCGAAAATCACCACCCCTGCAGGACCCCCTCCCTCCCCCCCCCCTTCCCCCGGCAAAACCCCCCCTCCTAACCCCACCCCCCCCCTCTCCTCCTGAAAACCGAAGGGGGATCACTACCGGTTTGACCCCCTCCTTCCCCTCCTCCAAAAAACAGCGGGAGGTCACTACTGGTTCGAACTCCCCCCCTCACCGCCAGCACACGACTCCCAGTTCCACCACCGTCCGCACCACATCCCCAACCGCCGTCCCCAGCACCACCCGCTGTCCCCAGCACCACCGTTCCCACCACCACTGTCCCCACTTTTCCCACCACCGTCCCCACTGTCCCCACCAGTGCCCCCACCACTGTCCCAACCACTGTTCCCACCACGGTCCCACTCTCCCCACTTTCCCCACGGTCCCCACCACTGTCCCACTGTCCCACTGTCCCCGCCGCTGTCCCACTGAGCTGTCCCACTGCTCCCACCACTGTCCCACTGTCCCCACCACTGTCCCCAGTGTACCCATGTCCCATTGTCCCACCACCGTCCTCACCGCCGCCCTCACCACTGTCCCCACCACCATCATCCCCACCACTGTCCCACTGTCCCCACTGTCCCCACTGTCCCCCCACTGTCCCACTGTCCTCACACCACTGTCCTCACACCTCTGTTCCCACCACCATAGTCTGCACCACTGTCCCACTGTCCCCACCACCGTCCCAGTGTCCCCACGGTTCCCACCATCGTCCCCGCTGTCCCCACCAGTGCCCCCACCAGTGTCTCAGACCCCACTGTCCCCACCACTGTCCCACCACGGTCCCATCGGAGGATGGGACGAGGAGGCGGAGGAGGAGGAGGAGGAGGAGGAGGAGGGAGTCGGTGGCTCTCGCCGGTTGCACCACAGGTTTTCCGGCCTCGGGGTGCCTTCCTGAAGCTGCGCCTCGCCGAGAGCGGTCTGCAGGGTGCCTGGATCGTCCCGAGCGGCCGGCGAAGACCAGAGTGAGAAGGTATGGCCCGAGAGCCGCTCTCGGCGGCGCGCCACAGGGAGAAGTGAGAGCCGGGAGCGGCCAACAGGGGGGCATCCAAGAGGGGGGGGTGCAAATCACGAGTGGCGGCATGTGCGCGGCCCAGCGGGGGGGCCAGGGACGTCATGAAATAAGAAGAGGCGCCATGAAATCTGGGGATATATCATGGCCCCCGCCATGATATCCCCCCCCCTAGTCATCACCCCCCTCTTTTCTGCCCCCGAGAGAGCGAGGGCAGGACACCTCAGAAGGCGGCGGGGCTTGGGAGAGGACGCAGGGAGCTGCTCAAAACGAGATGCATCAAACACTTGATATCGGGGATGGACAGGCCCCCCTTTAGTAAAACGTGGTTTAGTGAAAACGACCTGAGGCCCAAACCTGGTGGGCGCAAGCCTGGAAAATGACGGCCACGGCGCCCTCTCGAGAACCGAAGACGGACAATTCACTAATCGACGTGTCACTGTTGGGGGTTCTGTCCACCCCCGATGATAAGCAACAACAACGCCAGCAACAATAATTTGACCCTCATGCGCGATGCTTCCACACGAAGCATGCGACCATCATGATAACCATACACATTATGGGGGACTCTTGTTCTATAGCGGGGTCCGTTATTCCCATTTTTAGATATTCCCGCCCAATCTGGTCTTGCAAACACCTCCTCCGAGGAATTTCAACATATCCCGCCTCGAAAACACATACCCGCGCCTTGCTGCGCCGATGCGAGACCGCCAGTGGAACCCCAGCGAAGGGTAAAGCTCAAGGAAGTATCGAACGACAGGGTTGCCTTGGTGGGGATGGGGGCTGTCGGCGGTGAGGCAAGGACCTGGCCCTGAATAGAAAGGGAGGAAGTCTCGAGCAGGGCTGCTGTTGTTGCTGAGAGTCGGCCGCTAGTCCAGCGTACAACAAAATGAAGTCTCGAGCGGGAACGCTGGTTTTGTTGGGAAGGCGACTTTCGGCGGCGAGGAGGAACACCGCCTTGAGTAAGAAGGGAGGAAGCATCGAGCGGGAGCCCTGGCTTTGTCGGAGAGAGCGTGATCCACCGCCGCTTTACTGTGGACCCCCCCCCCCCCGTCTTCCTCCGGAACCCACGGGTCCCCCCCCTCCCCCTCCGAAAATCCCCCCTCCCCTGCTGGACCCCCCCCCCTTCCCCCTGGCAAACCCCCCCCTCCCCTAACCCCCCCCTCCCTCCGGGAAAACCGGGGGGGGGGCCACTACCGGTTCGAGCCCCCCACCCCCTCGAAAACCGGGGGGGGTCACTACCGGTTCGAACCCCTCCCCCCCCCACCCCCACACAAAAAACAAAGAGAGGGGTCACTACAGGTTCGAAAGCCCCCCCTCGAAAACCGGGGGGGTCACTGCCGGTTCGAAAGCCCCCCCCCTCGAAAACCGGGGAGGGTCACTACCGGTTCGAACCCCCCCCCCTCGAAAACTGGGGGGGTCACTACCGGTTCGAACCCCTTCCCCCCCCCCACGCTCACCGCCAGCAAACAACTCTGGGTCCCTACCACCGTCCGCACCACATCCCCCACTGCTGTCGCTGTCCCCCCCAGCTGTCCCCACCACTGCTCCCACCACGGTTCTACTCCCCACTTTCTCCACGGCCCCAACCACTGTCCCACTGTCCCCACTGTCCCACTGTCCAACAATTCCCGCCGCTGTCCCACTGTTCCCACCACTGTCCTCACTGTCCCCACCACTGTCCCAACTGTACCTCTGTCCCTTTATCCCACCGCCGTCCTCGCCACCGTCCTCACCACTGTCGCCACCACCACTGTACCCTCCACTGTCCCACTGTTTCCACCACATTCCCACTGTCTCCACACCACTGTCCCCATCACCACCGTCCCCACCACTGTCCCACTGTCCCCACTGTTCCCACCATTGTCCCCGCTGTCCCCACCAGTGCCCCCACCAGTGTCTCACTGCCCCCACTCTGTACTACTGTCCCACCACTGTCCTCACCACCGCCTTCACCACTGTCCCCACCAATACCGCCCCCACCACTGTCCCACTGTCCCCACCACCGCTGTCCCCTCACCACTGTCCCCACCACCACCGTCCCCACCCCTGTCCGCACCACTGTCCCACTGTCCCCGCCACTGTCCCCACCACCACCGTTCCCACCACTATCCCAACATCCCCACCATTCTCCAACTGTCCCGAAGGGCGGGCATCGTTTGCCGGCGGCGAAAAGGGGGGGGGGGGGTCGAACTGGTAGTGACCCCCCCCCCGGTTCCGGTTTTCGAGGGGCGGGGGGGGGGTTCGAACCGGCAATGACACCCCCCCCCCGGTTTTCGAGGGGGGGGGGTTCGAACCGGTAGTGACCCCCCCCCTTTCATGATGGACTGGGGGGGGGGTGTTCGAACCGGTAATGACCCCCCCAATTTTCGAGGGGGGGGGACGGATTAGGAACCCCCAGTGACCCCCCTCTCGGTTTTCCGCCAGCAGCGGTAGAACACGCTCTTTCTTTTGTTGGGACGGGGGCTGTCGGCGGCGAGGAACAGCACTGTCTTCAGAAAATAAAGGAGGAAGCCTCGAGCGGGAGCGTTGTTCTTGCTGGGAGCGGCGCCAATTCAAAAGATAGTTGGGCGCCAACCCAGCGTAAAACGGAAGGACGTCTCGGGTGGGAGCGCTGGTTTTGTCGGGGCGGCGGTTTAGCCTCGAGCGGGAGCGCTGTTTTTGCTGGGGGCGGCGCCGATGAGAGAAAGACTAGCGCGCCAGTCCAAGGTAAAACGGAAGGATGTCTCGAGCGGGAGAGCTGGTTTTGTTAGGACGGCGGCTTTCGGCGGCGAGCAAGAACACCAGCCCTGAGTTAAAAAGGAGGACGTCTCGAGCGGGAGCGGTGTTGTTGTTGGGGGCCGGTTCTGGCGGTCCCCCAAACCGATCGAGCGTGAGCCTCATTGTCAATGAAAATGTAGGCGGCGCCTCGGCGAGAGCGCCAGGGCGCCTACATGGGGTCCAACAGTAATAACTGTATAGAAATTAACATTCAACAGCAATATTAACAACAATAACAAGAACGCCCAGACGACCTCTCAGGCCACCCTGGCGGGTCCCGTGGTGGTGTCCTCGCCCACAGGGCGAGCGCACTCTCCTGATACGCTTACGTACGTAAATCTATATGCGTTCCCGAGATTACGTTAGCTCCATCACTGTTCTCCACGCGCTCCTGTGTGCGAAAAGCGTGCGCGCGCCGGCGAACCGAGCTCCTCCTCCTCCTCTGTCAGAATCCTGTAGGATCCCCACGAGCCCTACAGGACTCCTGTACGAATCCTATGGGGATCGATTCCTTACTAAGGATTTCAGAGTAAGGATTCCTTACTAGGATTCCCTACTACGGATTCCTCACCAGGGGTTCCTTAGTGAGGATTCCTTAGTAAGGACTCATTCATACAACTTCCATAACAAGGATTCCTTTGTAAGGTCCGGATTGTTTACCAACTATTTCTTTATGTCGTAAATCTTCATAAAGCATGTTCTGAATACGGATTACTGAATACAGATTCCTCAGGAAGAACTCCTTCATACAAGTTCCGTAATACGGATTCCTTTTCATAAGGACTCCCTGCTCCCAAGAGGCCTCCAAGAGGCTCCCAAGAGGCCCCCCAGAGGCCCCAAGATGGGCCCAAGAGGCCCCCAGGAGGCCCCCCAGAGGCCT